GCTCAGTATAAGAAAGACATCAATCAAAAAAGTCGTAAATTCTTTTAGGGTTGTATTGATATAAATAGTTCCATTATTTTCTAATATAAAACTTATTTTTTCAAGTGTGTCATTTTTACCATGTTCTGTGTGTTCATGTGCACGAAGCAGGATTTGTTTTGAGAAAACTTCCTCACAATCATCATATGTAAATTTCCGAGCAGTTCTTAATATTGGAGCTAATTCCTGTAATTTCGAAAAATAGCACTTAAAAATATGCTCCCGTAGATTTCGTCTGAATGAATAGAACTTCGAGCATTCCAAACATAAAATTTTCTTCCATAATAATTACACTAAATATAAGACACAAGTAAACTGATAAGTCAGGGTTAACTTTGTAGTGTGTCAATATTTAGCGGAACAACATGTCTTTAATCGCCAATATTAAGATACATCGCCAATAGTGTATAGCAGATGCCAGCCTATTATGATAGCGAAGTTCCTATCACTACGCATGCGTGAAGCGTAAGCCCCGCAGAACGGAGACGCTACTTTTCAAACAGACTGGGCCAAAGAACCAAAGTTTATTTCTCACTAGATCAGAAGCTGTTAATACACGTAAGACTATGTCAGCCGTATTTTCGTTTCCTTTACAGTATTCCCATTCTGAAGGTGATACTGTGAAGACCTTATTTTAATTCTAACCAATTATTTTTAGTTTGACTTTCCTTTCGATTCCTGATTTCAGTTTCCTGCTGGAATATAAATCTTAATGACGTAGTATGCAAAATTTAATTTTGTTCATAAGCAATATTTAAGCTGCGTTTCAAAAGTTCGTGAAGAGAAGTAGTGGAGTTAGTTTGATCTTATGCTGCGTGTTTGAAATAGCTCTCTAGCTCGTTGTTGCAACTCTCAGGGCTACAACGTTACAAATTAAATAATCACAGCAGGAATTATTAATATAAAGATTTTAATATGGATATCTCACACAAGCGGAAAATGTACATTACTCTAACAAATGCATACATATAACTGAGTGAAAAGGAAATTCCCCGCTTAGTTCGCAGTTAAAGAAAAAATAATAATAAAAAATAGTCCAATCGAAAGCGGCGCTTTTTCTGTCGACTTCGCCCAGCTGTTACGTAATCGTCTGTCTGCAGCAACCGTCTCCTACATTCTCCCCGTCTTTGAGTCGACTTCAGGTTGGCTCAAAGACATACAGTACCTGGTTGAAGAGATCTAATCTCTGAGGCACCTTGATCACATGTCCAAATCTTGACATTCGCCAGCCGTTACGTAGTCGTTTGTCTGCAGCAGCCGTCTCCTACACTGGTGTTAGTCACCCTCTTCAGATTATATTCATATTCCAGGCTCGGCTTTACTGTGTCCAGAAGATTTTGCGGTTTAGACAACTAAGCAGCCAGCCGTCTAGCCATCCTAATCTATAGTGGTTTTACGTTTTTATTTTCTCTTTAATTTATTTTAGCCAAAAGTGGCGGTGAATTGTGAGGACCGAGTGAGTGCATCTTGTTATGTTTGTTCAAATAGAAAGGTTATTTAAACCTTCTTCTGTAGTTTCTGTTCTTCAAGACATAGGGAGAATTAGCTATGCAGTCTTTTCACGTAGGGTCTACTGTGAATGCTCCCGAAAAGAACACATAGACTCTACCACTAGCGCCCAAAACAGTTTAGAACCATGGAAACGCTACAGTTGGCCTGGCCCCCATCCACTTCCACAGCACCTGTGACTCAAGCTAACCCTATGGAAGGATTTGCCTATATTATCGACACCAGAGCTTCGATGAAGCCTCAGTTCCTATTTAATGGCAAAGGTTCAGCAGTAACATTTATCAACCAGCTAGACAATCACATCATCTTGTACCCAGTTGTCGGTATCCAAAAAGGAGCAATTTCACCTTCAGTTCCACGAGGACAAGCCTTGAGTTGGTATAAAGGCATCGGCAAATTCCCACTCGAAAAACCAGGGTCAACAACATCCACGTATCAAAACTTCAAAACCACCGTCCTGAAAGCCTTTCCAGTCATAAAGAATCGTGCGCAGTTAGAAGGCGAACTGTACAGCCGGGTACCAAACGAACGGGAAAGATCTTGCAAACTTCATTCTGCGAAAAATTCAAGTGGTTAAATTATTGTATGGAAGAAAACCCGACGACGAAGTAACTTAAATCATCATCTTGCCAAAATTAACCCCACCGCCGCAAAATTTTACAGAAATCAGAAACCCGTCGACCTTGGAAACTCTATTTGAGCTGGTCACAAAGTACGAAAGCCGCCACTTTTCCAATAATGCAAGCGCACAGAAGTATGGGCAAGAGTACAGAAATTTCTGCACACCCTAAGGCAGGTGAACGACGGCAGCCAAAATTCACTCGCAAGAACCAGGTGACAGGTGAAAACGGACCAGACACCCGGACGGCTTGTTAGGATTTTTCAGGTATAGTCCGGAATCCGCAACTGTAAAACGCAAGAACTCTTTGGCGCCCCATTAGTGCGGCGGCAGGAGCTTAATAGAAAATAATAGTATACTGATGCACACACTGCAGCTGTTACATAAATATTATGCACTAATAATTAAACATTCCCGTGGTGCATTTTATGTGCACTTAGGTTTAAACACCGGGAAGTATTGTTACAATAATGTTTATTTTACACATGCGTACTTTGTTTCACGTACATATACATTCTACGCTAATAATTAAACATATTACTCTTGATTACAGGCCAGTGCTACAATACATACGTACATAAATATATAAATAAATAAACACAAGTAAGTTACCCTGGTGCATTTTGCATATATAGTTGCTCTGTGTACGTTAGTTACTTCAGAGTGTTCATGTACAAGGTTCCATCATATACACTAAATAGCACACTAACATGCCGCACAAGAGCACTAGTACAATACAACGAGACACTTAGGAATAAGACAGTTAAGGCCTCATTTAATTGAAACGCCGATGATCCCAAAAACAGCGATCATTATACCCAGCATTTACGATCACTTTCGGAAGGGAGTGATTTTTCGTATTCAATTGAAACACCTGCCTATCAGTCGAACTGGTAGGGGTTGCCAGAGATTATTTAATGCGCGATTCTGATTATCGCGTGGTCGGAAGTGGCGTTTTTTGAGAACTAACCAATGAAAACGTTTCTCTGCCCTTAACTGTGTTAACTGAAAACCGCATTTCTATTTGTAAATATGGATTGGAAACGGGAGGCGCTGCGATCACCGAGGCAAACGACTGCACGTTCGCAGCGCTCCGTAAAAAAGTGAAAGAAAATTCCTTTCCCCTTGGTGATTATCAATTAAATTACTTTGAAATAGTGTTTTTTCTACAAAACCTATATCTCTAGAAAAGAATTTCCCCTCCGATGTTGACAAGAATAAAACAGCCGACAATTTGAGGCTTGGACTACGAAAGCCTGGAAATTTAAGATAAGTACTTTTCTTTCATCTAAAATAAATCAAATTTCTATATATAAGTGCCTTTAAATCAATTAAATTTTAATTTGTCATCAGTTTTTAGCATTAAAAAATACTTGAAATTGCCCATTGCTTGTGGCTTCCTTTGTGAATCAATTCCAAAGAGACGCCAACGTTATCAGTTCAAGTCTGTCATCACCTACAAAGGCCCCGAGGAATCTCGTGAGAGGGAAAATTTAACACAAATTTGGGGACTCGGGGCATCGCGCTACTTCCCTCTCGGATATTTTGGTTTCTCTCACACTGTTCTTTGCTATCTGTTAAATGTCCATGTGTAAGGGATGGATTATTCTTCACTGCTTTAAATAAATTCTTAGAACTATGAGCTTATATAAATTACAATGTGCCTCATTGTGTTATACTAGCATTAATTAACTAGTAATAAATTATGATAGTAAAATAATTAATCTTGTAATAAATTATGATAGTTAAATTAATAAATACTATGTTTAATTTGAGTTTTATAATACATATACTCTGTAATTTACACACACACATATATATATTATTATTATTGTTATTGTTATTATTATATTATTATTATTTGTTATTTATATATTTTTTTTGTGTGTGTGTGCGGTTGTGGTCTTGTATTGTATGTGGTTCTATGTTGTTTGTCTGCTGCTGTTTTTTGAAAAATGCATGACAATGTTGGGAACGAAAATAGCATAAGTGACTTTAGTTAAATTAATATATATACCTTTGTTTGATGACTTTGTTGATATCTCAGGATGCAAGCATACATATTACTTTATATTCCATGCTAAATACCTTGAAGCGAAGCATTTTAACACCGTCAATATTTTTTTTCCCAGTAACACATCTATTCACCATTACCAAACACACTCACTACACACACACACCTGTAAGACACTATTTATTGTAAATGAAGACAAATTATTCTCCCTTTAACTACACTCATGGACAAAATCGTATTTTAGGATATTTCTTTTCCTTTTCTTTCTATAGGCCCTTTTTTTTTTTTTTTTTTTTTTTTTTTTCCCTTCCTCTATAATTTTTGAGTCATTTATTTTAAATTTTATTTTGTTCCATCTTTTCTTCCTGGCCTTTTAAATTCGTACAAAATGTACGAAGTTCCTTTTTACTCTCCTCAAATACGAAATTGCCCCTCTTTCTATATACCTTTCCTTCGCACCTATGCTTGATTTTTCGCCCATCGGTGCAGAAAGACTTAGCGGGTGCAAAACAAGACATCTGTCTACTTTTACTGTATGTCTTTCTGGATCGGAAACGAATGAACTTTCTGTGTTAATTGATCTTTTGGAAAGCCGGCCCGATTTAATTAATTTGAAGCTGCGAGGCAGCTATGCAAATGTAGCTGCTGTGAAGACAGCATGGGAGGAAGTAGCTTTACAGTTAAATGTTTTGGGGTCGGGGGTGATTCGCTTCTGGACTTGAAATTTAAAAAAAAAAATGGATAGATTTGAAATATCGCACCGAAAAGAAAAACTTCTGAAATTAACCAAGCTGCTACACAGGCAGGTAGAAATCCCCTTTCCGCCCAAAAGCTAAATGGCAAACTGAGTTAAAAATCCTGGCCCTAATTGGTAGGACATGCGTGGAAGGAGTTTGCGGGCAGGAGTTTGACAGCATGCATATCCAGTTGAAATCAAGCATATTTTATATTTGAACTTAAGGTAAAAAGTTATATTAAATCTAATACCATATATGCTGAAACTCATTTATATTTACATTTCTACAGGAAGTACCAGTTCAGCCGAGTACTTCAACCTTAGGTATGTACACGTTTTTTATCTGGTCTCTGCAACTTTCATTATAAAAAAATTCGATTATTGAACTGTTCTGTAAAAAGATATAAATTTAGACAAGTCGCGTTACTTCTTATTTGCTGTTGTTTGATAAAAGTGTTTCTTCTAATAAATTTGCCCTTAATCACTTCCAGTACAGAGCACTTGGTTTGAAATATTTTGCAGCATGTAATTTTAAAGTATTAATATTTTTAGGTAGGAATGTTCTAGGACTTTTGAAATTAGCACAGAACAGTGTATCTAATGTAGCCTTTATGCTGCACACATAAATGTGCTAAAGGATGCAAATGAGACATTAAAATTTTTAAATAAAATGTGTGTAATGTTATAAATTTATAAAGTACTTATTATGTATTTCTGTAAGATTGACACTCAGAATTATTTATTTATTTACATGATTTTGGTATTTTATGATATTATTTATATGCTACAGTATTGGGAAAATAATGTTAATATATACATGACTAAACAATAAAAAGATAATCTGCTTTCATAGAGCATACTAATCTGAATTTGTGCTGGTGTGTTGTATACAAATTAATGAGCAAAATTTCCTGCTTAATTTTATCCAAGTTTTTTAACTCCATAAACTTGTTTTTACTTCCTTGTACAAAGTAAAATGGAAGTATTGTAATCGCGAAAAGCTTCAGGCAGCATATCTCAACGAAAATATCCACTTTGACCGCTTTCGAATGCAATTTAACGATTTTTTGAGTGATATATGTACGTAAGGACAGAATAAAAGACTCTTTTCCTTCAAAAAATTATAAAACCGCTTTAAAATTAATTCTGAAGAGAATTTTTCGTGGCGTCTGTACGAACGTATGTACGTACATGCGTACGTACGTATCTCGCATAACTCAAAAACGAGTAGCCTCAGAACGTTGAAATTTTGTATATAAGGACTACTATAACATGTAGATGTACACCTCGTATTTTGGTTTCAATCGGCCGCGCCAAACGTATATAAATATATTTATAAATATATCCACTCTGTTACCCGGCTCAGTGATCTCTGTTTCTTTACTCTTATATGTTTGTAAATTGTACATATTTTGCTTTAAAAATGATTGAATTATGTTGTTTTTATCTTCCGGTTAAGGGTTTTATGCCTTTAGTAAATCTGTATGCAATATTTTTAGAATTATCAACAATTTTAAAATTGTTTAAGTGCGGCTAAGCCTAATTTGATGGCGGCCATTGATGTTTACATTTGAAACAGGAGACTAGTGGATTTGTTGCCAGTCTAGAGAAACTTAGCTTCGCAACAACAAAGATAACGCATTCATTTATTATTGCCAATTAAATCATGCTTAATCCTTTCTTGAATTTTTCGAGGAAATAAGCGTTTAAGATTTACTTCGTAATTTCTAATACAGATATTTTGAGTTTTTATGTATTTTTGCCTTGTCGCGAAGTGAGAACTGAATTAATTGAATGAGAAATACTCAATCGTCTGAAAACTGTTTCGGTTTTGTTTTGTTTGCTTAATTTCTTTTATACATAGTTCCAGCTTTATTATAGTATTTGAATAGAACATGTGGCAACGATTAGATAATTCTTTAAATGATATAAATTTTGTGCATTCAGAGTTATAATATGAACGAAATATAATACTGTTAAGTAAACCTAGCGCCAGAGTGTCGCTATGGTAAACAAAGTGAATTTTAAAGAATGTATTTATTCTATTGTGGTTTATGTTCTGTCGGCGAAGTAGGTTTAATTCAATCTAATAAGTTTAAATAAAATGCAAGAAAAAATGCGTATAATTTAGTATTCCGTACAAGGAAGGCATGTGGTGTACACATCAGATTTTTTAACTATATATATTCACAATTTCCTGAAGAAATATTTAAAAATCTTCGACCAGTTTGTTTATTCCTCCTCCTTCTGTTATTTATTCGGATTGAGTTGCTTGCATTTTGCGCTTAGTTTAGTCAAAATCTCTTTATGTTTTAACGTGAAAGTTACCAATAATGAACTTGTCATAAGATGAAAATGTATGCATATCTATGTTCACCAGAACATGGTGAAGTGAACCTTATATCTCTATCAAATGGGGTAATGTAAAGATTTATTGTATTCCTCCATGCAGTGTAAATTGAAATAGTTGTTGATATAGCTTTAGATAACAATGCACGTGTTTTTACAGTTGAAGCTATTCATACTCTGGTAGTTATACTGTCAGTTCAAATGTTTTCATCTAGACCAGCTTATTCATCTGTTTTTATGCAGGGAAGATGTTCAATTCATGCTCTGATACTTGTGAAAATTCTTTTTATGTCAATGTATAGTCAAATATTATAATAGTCAAAGTAACGTTTGCTCCAAACTTTGAGCCTGGTGTGTCACGCAGCTGAGGCATTCCAGGGGAAGGCCCCTGACAGCTTTCATGGCCAGTCATGCCCAATCCTGGTGCAGTAAGTAGTTATCCTTCAAGCAATGTAACTAGCCACCATCAAAGAAGAAGTTTTAAAACAAACCTTTTTACTTAAAACTTGACAAATGTGCCATCTCGGAAGAGAAGATAATTTAACTTTGATTTATGTATAAACTGCCGATATTTTTATGTAATGTCTTTATGCATGTACATTAAATGAACTCATGGAATAATGTTACATTTTATGCGCAGTCACAGATCGTTTGTTACATTAGAAATAGTTGGAGAGAAGGTAAAATTTTTAATTATATTACTTTGTTCAAGGCACTCTCAGATTTTTCGTATTAAAACAAATTATTTAGGAATGTTTTATGATGAACTTAGTTCCTTTCTTTTGTTTTTATAGATCATAACAAAGGAAAATATTGAAAATGATTATGTTTTGAATGGTAGGTATGTTGCTTATTTTTAATTGTAATGTTATAAAAATGGACAAAGCTCTATCAACTGCATTTTCTTTTCTTAAATGAGTCAGTGTACTAGGTTTTGAAGGTCGATTTTAAATTAAGAGAAATAGTTTTATTATATTTGTAGCAAGTGTTTCACATTGCTTTATATTACTGATGCTAATCATTAGGAAATGTTTCGAAAATACTATGTTAAAGTAAATTGTTTATATTACTGATGCTAATAATTAGGAAATGTTTCAAAAATACTATGTTAAAGTAAATTGTGTTATATTACTGATGCTAATCATTAGGAAATGTTTCAAAAAAATACTATGTTAAATTAAATTAAGTTGATTTTGAAATAAAAATTTCATGTTCAGAAATGTAATATTTTTTACAATAAAGTATTTATAAATTTAAATCTTTTACGATAAAGTATATGATATGATAGTATTTGTGATGATGAAATGCATACTTGATAATATTGTACTCTTTTTTTTTTCTTTATAGAGACGGGTATTAATGAAGAAATTCATTTGGATACTCCATGTAACAAGTTTATATCACAAATAAAAAATATGTTCTTGTTCCTTTTTAATGTAAGTTACATAGCCAATAAACTGATATGAACATTTGTAATTAAACAAAATTATAATAATTTTGCTTAACACTCTTCCTTGATATTTTCTGTGAGTGATTATCAGAATAATTATAAAATAAGAATGTTAAATTAAATAACCATTAGGCATCCAGACATTGTGCCCACCTAGTAGCGTACTTTGGTAACATGCCTTTTACTGCGCTCCTATCTATCAGTTGGTAGTTGGAATAACTACTGATTGAGGGAGTATTTTTTTTTTTTTTTTTTTTTTTTTGGTTTATTATAGTTCAGATGGCATAGACTATAAATCTACCTCTATTTTTAGTGATGACAAAGTCAAAAAAAATTGCTCTCTCGACACCAAGGGTTTCCCGCTTCAGAAAGAAGAGGAGAGTACAAGAAGTGGAAAGTGAAGAAACAAATATTCAGGAACTTATTAGCTTGCATGAAAAAACATTAAATGAGCTAAAAGAGATTAGCCAAACATTGAAAATGTTTGTTATGATGAAATGTATAAAAATAATATTTCTTATGACGAGTTGTTAAAATTATGTGAAAAATAAAATTATTCCATTGAAATGCAATTTTTCTTAATTTACACTTAGTTTAAGTTTTTTTGCATAACTTATACAAGTTCATTAGGTTATTGTTCCATTGAAATGTAATTTTTCTTAATTTATACTGAAATTATTGTGGTTAATATAAGAAACGTAAAAAATCATATAAATTACTACAATTACAAAAAAAAAAGTACTACATTATGAAATGCTACAATTAAATATATCAAATGAATTTTCTTGCTAGATTCTTCATTAAAAGTATTTACTACTGATAGAAAATTATGGTAAAATTCATATTTTACATATATGTTTATATTCTATTTTGGTATATGTGAATATTAATGATTCTGTAATTTAAGCATCATTGCTAACTCTAGCAAAACAAACTTTATTTGCAACCAATAATAACAGTTAAAAAAACAAACTCCACTTAAACAACATTAAATTGCAGAAAATATGTGCCACACAAAGGTTTAATTAGTTAAAAACTATCGGCTCATATTCGCTGCAATTTCATCTCGAATAAGTAGAGCTTCTCGTCTCCAGTTATTATTGTACGCTTGATTATTGATAGGTTGTGCAGTTTCTTCTTCAAGTTCATAACTTTCCTAAGGAATATTTCTTTGAATGCATATATTGTGCAATACAGTGCATGCCAAGATAATTTTTCATGTTTTCGTTGGTGTGTACAGAAGAACTCCACCACTCTCGTGAAGGCAACAGAATCTAGATTTCAACAGGCTATTGCAATGTTGCACTACAGCCCTCAAAGACTTGTGTTTCTGATTAAAAATTTGTTGGGTTTCTGTAGTGGGATTTTAATATGGCGTTAGAAGCCATGGTTCTAGTGGATATCCACTGTCACCAAGAAGAGAGTTCTGTCTTGGTGTTTGACCAGACACGAAAAGTTCTCTTAGTGCACTCCTTTTCCACATAATAGTGTCATGTGGGCTTCCTGGCCATCGTGCCACGACATTCAAAATTTCCATTTTGGCATCACAGACCTAAAGAGAATTAAAAAATTTTTAATTGATAATATGGTTCAATTTTTTTTAATATTATTAAGATTCAATGAGACACACTATTTCCAGATTAAAAACTAAAGATGGGTACCTCTGAAAAATAGCATATTTCATACTGTTCTTTAAAAATCCTAAAACATATATTATATGAAATGTTGAACATTAAGCAGCATTAATGCTGAAATTCTGGAATAACCTGCTCCATTCTCTTATAGATATGAAAAATATTGTTTTATATTAAAATTTTACTGAATACATAAAAAAATAAGCCAACCTTTAGAAAAACATAGTGCAAAAGAAATGTTAAAACTTAATTCTATGACAAATTTAAAGTTTACACTAACTTTTCTTAATATACTTTAATTTTTTTACCAATCAATTTTTTTTCAGTACATATGTTGATTATTTTTGCCCCAAAAAGGAATACTGCCTAAGTAGTGGAAAAGTACTTCCTTTAGCATAATAATTCTTGTTCTTCAAAAGTGCCTAAGTAGTGGAAAAGTACTTCCTTTAGCATAATAATTCTTGTTCTTCAAGAAAAACCTTTAACAGAACTGTTTTTATGGAGATTAAATAAAAATTAATTACAATTTGAGACCTGACCACTACAGAACAAAATCTAAGGGTTTTTTTGTAAATGTGGAATCCTACTGGCATTCGAAAAGGATATTAATGGGTATGATATAGGACTTTAATTGAAAATGGACTAGATTTGCAATATCAAGACTTGTGAAAAGTAAGTAATACTTCAGAAAATTTTGAGAATTCTACTTTTAAATTTTTACCGTACTCTGATTATCTATAGTTGGTACCAAGAATTAACGATTGTTGAATGGGGAAAAGAACATTAAGATTAAAACAATTGCAACTTTGATGATGTGGGTACAGGAGTGCATACCCAAAATGCTGAACGACTCTGAGGTTCGATTAAGAGTCATTTGGCGTTTGTCAAAGCTTAACAAAAATCAATAGAAAACTACTTAGATTCATATATGAATGAAATTATGAAGTTTTGGCTTCACAAAAAAGGTACATCTATTGTATTTCTATAAGTATGTTTTTCCATACCCTCTTAAGTTTCAGTTTGCCTAAGTGAAGCTATGCTTCATTTATGCAGATGTGGACAACTGGTACACCACAGATATTTGCTAAAGAAAACTATATGTGACCCACAGTATCAATGCACATCTTGGCCTTTGTGTAAACAGAAATTGGCCCTTACTGCATTAAAGTAAACTTATTTGTCGTCCAGCAAACAGATATGTAGTAATTGCTAATTTTGTTGCTTTGAGTGTTCTTCAGTGGTAGCAATAACCTTTATATTATTTTCAGACATTTACACTGCATAACATTGAAACTCATATAATCAAATAAAATTAAGCATAATGTGCATGAAAGAAAATGCTAATAATTACAAGATAGCTGCAAGAAACAGATGAGATTACGACATGATGGCATATGTATTTGCCATCATGTTGTAATCTTCTGTTTCTTGTAGTAATATTCTGTAGAGAGACATGTATTAGAGAGAGAGATGTATAGAGAGACATTTATTCTGTAGTGAAACAGTATTTGGCAACTGGCAATTCAGTCCAAGTAAAAAAAAAAGTACACATTAAAAAAGATCTTGCATTTAGAGATCATTTTTATGGTAATACACAATTTTTATGGTAATACAATTTTATGGTTTAAATTTATGGAATACAGTTAATTCCTTCCATATCAAAGAAACAGTCTTCAGAAAAAACCAATTATTTAATCTAACTAATGCTATCTATCCTATTACACAACGTTATTGTTTAATAGGATAGCATTCAATAACTATCAAGATGAAATATTAATTCACAATCAAGTGCATGTTTTTTTAAGAATATCACTCAGAAACAGCTCATTATATGTACGATACTATAATGTGATAAAATGGTTTTTGTCAACTTCTTTGTATAGCTTTATGGTATCAGAAAATGATTACAATATATATATATTTAGAGACTTACCAGTTGAATATTTAGAGCAAATTTCCCTTTACGGCTGATAAAAACAAACTAGTCATCAACTGATGGTCTCTGTATATTTATTAAAGTGCCATCAATAGCCCCAACAACATTTGGAAATCCATTTGTAAAGAAGTCAAATTTTTTCTCAAAGCGTGCTTCTTCACTCAGTGGAAATTTCACAAACTGTGGCAGTACTTCGGTTAATGCATTTACAACACCCTCAAGATTCCTTGAAACTGTCGATTGTGATGCTTGAATAAGGAAGTCATCTCCAATGACACTTTGAAATGAGCCTGTGCCAAGCAATCGAAAGTGCTGATAAAACCTAACATAGAAAGTATCTTTTAAATAAAGGGCACAATTATACTCAGCAAGAAATACAAGCAAATAATTCAAATTAGAATAGAAATCTAAAAGTAAATCTACGTGTTAATTTTGAATTAGATTTCAACTTTGATTATCAGAGATAATAGTATTAATTTCAGCAATAATAGTTGTCACGAAGCATTACTACTTGTGAAGGTAGATAGAGCTACTGATGTTCCTATTGTTTAACTTACATACATATTACTTAATTAATATCACATACATATTACTTAAATCATATTTACATCTAATGCATAAGAAATCTAGAATGAATTTTTTGTGTACATTTTTCAGTGTCAATAAAGTTAAGTTTTATGAATTATTAACTTGACAAAGATACAAATTCATTTTAAGAGAATGTACAACTTTCCTTAACCACACTTTTAAAGTCTCCATCCACTAAATGACATATGATTTTAATGTTTTTTTACTTAAATAATGAACAATAAAGAATGACTTTAAACATTCATACAATTGGATACGGTTGTCTCTGCTGGTGTATAAATGTACCATCTCTACTGATGTTATATAGTGAGAAGTGATGTATAATAAAGCATCTTACAATGAGTATCTGTCAAAGTGACCAATATTTCTGAGAACATAAATAATAATTATACATTTCCTTTTTAATAAAAATATATTTTTTTAGAAAGAAAGCATAAAATTTCAAGTTATTCCATTTTTGTCCCATATACAAACATCAGCTACTTGATTCTGATTTTAATTCCTATTTGCATCTACATATACATATATTTTGAATGGTACTTATTAGAGCTATTGATTTTAATTTAAGGGTAATTTAGAGCATATGTTTCACTTTTCAATTATTCATATAATACGAATTTAGCAGGTAGCCTCAGAACATAAACGACTTCAGCGCAAAATTTTCTCCATATTCCTATCCGCTGTCCTGTGCAACAAAATAATTTACTATCCCCTATTAAATATGAAATTAACAAATTAATAAATTATGATCTAAAATTTGTATATCTGTTTCTAATACATGAGAGAAAAAGTATTTCTAAAAGAGATTTAATTTTAAATACTAAAGACTTTTTTTATTATTATTATTAAATATTTTTTAGGAAATATTAAAAATAAAATTTTAAATATTGCAGATTCCGAGCTCTGAAGTATAAATGCAACATTACAGATATTTAAATTCATAGCAAGTATTTCAATACCACCGACATCATATAATAATGATATACATTATGTTAATCACGATTAATCATGTGTAAAATTATAAGCCTGTTAGTGATGAATACCAAGTATTTTACTATCATCTACAGTCTATAATAATAACGTACACAATATTAATCACAATGAATCATATACTCCCTCTGTCCCAAATGAGTTGTTAGTTGCTACATTTGAATAATTTTGTACTGATTACTCTCCAAGTCGGCTAATTGTCCTTGTCTGCTAAATGTCCCGTCGGCTAAGTGTTCGTGTAGGTTAATGCCCTGTCAGCTAACTGGTTGTAGGATAAGTGTTCGCGACTGAAATAAGCATAACATCACATCTCTCAAATTACCACCTCCACAAAAACCAATATCACTTGGAATCGCAACTGGTTATACGTATGTTGCTATTCTATATATATTATATATGTATATAAACAAAAGGAAAGT